GGACAATAATATCATTGGCACTAAGAATGCTGAATTGATGGTGCAGCTGAATAGCTGAAAATGAAAGGGACAGTCTGAAGGAGGAAGCAAACTCCCTTCAAGATGGGAGGGACTCCTTTCAGATTGAGAAGAGCGTCTGGCAGACCGAACGCGAATCGCTTAAGGCTGAAAGAGACAATCTTCAGCGCTTGCTTCATGACGAATAGGCAGAGCGCATAGCCTTTGAGAAGAGGGCTCTGGATGAGCGCAATGCCTTACTTGGAGTCATTGGCAAGGTTAACGGCGGAGTGACGGCTCTGCATGGTCGCTTCTCCAGGATCGGAGCCCTCAGGTATACTGAAGGGTACAAGGAGGGCTACAATGACCGTCTTCCTGCCGAGGGTCAAACTAGTTCAGGCGCCAATCCAGATGATATCGACAAGGAACTGGAGATCGATCCCCTCGGAGTTTATATTAATTTGGATTCCACTCATGCCGAGCGTATTTTTGATGAGTGCCAGGAGATTGCTTCCTCAGGAGTTATTCCTGTTCCTTCAGCCGTTTAACCCCTGGATATTCCTCCTTTTTCCACCATGGTTCCTCCTGCGCCTGTTGCTCAGGGCGGAACCCAGCTAGATGAAATAATCATCCAACTTGACTCTCCTCCCCGAGAGGAGAGTACAGTCGATGAAGGTGAGGGGAACGCTGAGCGTGAGCAAGAGACCGAGGGTGTGAACCGGACTAAATAGTCATCTACAAATGTATTATCTTCTTTTGTATACTCTACTCATTCCACCAGAACTATCTTTGTAAATGTTTAATGGATATGAATTTAATGGAATGGAAGATTTTTGACTAATTCATATCTCATAATACTTTCTTCGTCGTTGTTTTTGAGTTATCATTTATCATTTATCACAAGTGTTTGGCATTCGGTTAAAGTGCCTGGTGCTCGGCTGAATGCCACTTGCCCCTATTTTTAGCAAATGTTTGGCGTTCAGCTCATAGTGTCAGCTGCCACTTAGTTCACTAAGTGTTTGGCGCTCGGCTGAATGCCACTTACCATTTGGCTTTTTATTTTTAGCAAGTGTTTGGCATTCGGCTCATAGTGCTAGCTGCTACTTACTTCACTAAGTGCCTGGCGCTCTGCTGAATGCCACTTACCATTTGGCTTTTTATTTTTAGCAAATGTTTGGCGTTCGGCTCATAGTGCTAGCTGCCCCTTACTTCACTAAGTGTCTGGCGCTCGGCTGAATGCCACTTGCCACTTGGCTTTTTATTTTTAGCAAGTGTTTGGCGTTTGGCTCATAGTGCCAGCTGCCACTTACTTCACTAAGTGCCTGGCGCTCAGCTGAATGCCACTTGCCACTTGGCTTTTTATTTTTTGCAAGTGTTTGGCTTTCGGCTCATAGTGCCAGCTGCCACTTACTTCACTAAGTGCCTGGCACTCGGCTGAATGCCATTTGCTACTTGGCTTTTTATTTTTAGCAAGTGTTTGGTGTTTGGCTCATAGTGCCAGCTGCCACTTACTTCACTAAGTGCCTAGCGCTCGGCTGAATGCCACTTGCCACTTGGATTTTTATTTTTAGCAAGTGTTTGACGTTCGGCTCATAGTGCCAGCTGTCATTTACTTTGCTTAATTGCTTAACGCTTGATCACCTTTTTGGAAGAAAATAACTTTTTTTATAGATCTTTTGAAGTTTTATTCATTTGTAAGCACACAATTGGAAATAAACACTGACCAGGTTAGAACTTACTCCTCAATTTCCTACTGGTAATACCTTTCAAAGATGTGGCGTTCCATGGCTTATTTAGCAGCCTTCCAGCCATGGTTTCCAGGACATTTGCCCCCTTCCCTATGATTTCTGCAACTCTATACGGTCCTTCCCAAGGTGGCACCATTTTTTTTGACAATTCCAACCTTTCTTTTTAGAACTAAATCACCAGGTGCAAAGTCTCTATGCCTCACCTTTCTGTTGTGGCTGTTCATAAGTATTTGCTGATATGATGCTAGCCTTACTGCCGCTGCATCCCTCTTCTCTTTAAGTAAATCGAGGTTGAATTTCAACATGTGATCATTCCGCTCCCGATTCCATACTAGACTTCGAATGGTGGGAACTAGGTGCTCGACCAGTATTATTGCCTCAGTCCAATATGCCATGGCGAATGGGATCTCTCCGGTCGGTTGTCTCGGAGTCGTTCTAGAGGGCCATAGGACATTCGGGAGCTCATCCAACCATTTTCCTTTTTCTTCTTCAAGCTTCTTCTTTATACAAGCAAAGACCATTCTGTTTGTGATCTCAGCCTGACCATTTGCCTGTGGACGGCTGACCACTGCTAACTTTTGGTTGATATTCTTCTAACAACTCCCTCACTTGCTTACTGTCTAGATTAGTCCCATTGTCCATGACGATCGACCTTGGCATGCCAAAGCGACAGATGATATTGCTCCAAATGAAACGTCTTACATGAGTCCGAGTCACGCTGGGATATGGTTCTGCCTCCACCCATTTGGTAAAGTAGTCTGTTGCAAGTAGAACGAACCTATTCTGTTAATTAGTGGTCGGTAAGGGGCCAACCACATCCATCCCCCATTGCACAAAAGGCCATGGTTTGGCCATTACGTGCAAGTCTTCTGGTGGTTGGTGGATCAGTGGTCCTAACCTTTGGCACTTATCGCACCTTCTTGAGTATTCCTCCGCATCTCGTGACATGTTCGACCAAAAATACCCCTGTATCATCGCTTTGTGTGCTAAAGACCTCCCCCCAGAATGGTTACCACACACACCTTCGTGGATAGTTCGCAGCATTTGCTGAGTTTCTGTGGGGGTTACACATTTCAAGTAAGGCCCTAAGTAAGATTTTCTGTACAACTGGTTGTGCACTATGGCATACTTCACAGCATTTGATCTGATCTTTCTTGCCTCATCCCTCTGCTCTGGTAAAACCCCATCCCGTATGTATGTCATAATTGAATCTATCCAACTCGGCTCATATGGTATGACATTCACTTGCCAAGGGTCCGAGTTTGATGGCTCGCCAAGGATAGATGGCTGGTACAACACACTGACTAGAATCACCCTTGTCAGTGTTTCCCCAGAACTCGACGCACTGCATGCCAACTGATCGGCATCCTCGTTATACTCTCTTGGCAATTGGATAAACTTGATCTGATCAAAACTCTCAACTTCCTGTATAACGGCTGAACGATACGCCTCCATTGTTTCATCTTTGGTTCCATACTCTCCAGTTACTTGCCAAACTACTGACTGCGAATCACTAAAAGCGACTAGGCTTTTGACCTTTAACTCCTTGGCCAACTTCAATCCAGCCAGTATTGCTTTATATTCTGTTTCATTATTGGTTGCTTTGATCGCCTGGCTTAACGTGGTGCCTTTTGGTGTCTTCAACTTGACCCCAATTCGTGCCCCCATCTGATTCGAAGAACCATCAACAAAGAGCTTCCACGAATAGTCTTCAATATTTTCCTCTGGCTCTTCCACATCACACTCCAATAGGAAATCAGCCACAGCTTGCCCATTGATGGCCGTTCGGGGTTCATATGTTATGTCAAAAGAACTTAGCTCTATTGCCCATTTCATTATTCGTCTGGACAAGTCGGGCTTATGCAGGATCACCCTTATGGGAAGCGTGGTTAGAATAGCTATTGGGTGGGACTCGAAGTAATGCCTGAGTTTCCTCTTTGCATTTACCAAATATAATATTACTCGTTCAGCCTTCGAATACCTTTTCTCTGGTTCGGTTAGCGTTTTGATGACATAGAAGACTGGGAACTGCTTACCTTCTTTACACCGTATCAAAACATTACTAGTTGCAAAGTTGGAAACTCTAAGATACAGGAAAAGTTTCTCACCTGCTTTTGGGGCATTCAGGACTGGTGGATTTCACATATACTCCTTCAACTTTGTCAGTGCTTGCCTCTGCTCATCCCTCCAGGATTGCTTTCCGTGACTTCTTATTGTATCAAAGAATGGCTTGCATTGGTCTGACAACTTAGAGATGAATCGACTTAGTGCCGCTATGCGTCCAGTGAGGGCTTAGACTTCCTTGACAGTGCTTGGTTCTGCATTTCTCAGTAAAGCTTCCGCTTGAGCTGGGCTGACTTCAATCCCTCTATTATTGACCACGTAGCCAAAGAATTATCCAGATCCTACGCCGAACAAGCACTTGGTTGGGTTTAGCTTCATTCCATACCTCCTCAGTACATCGAACACCTCCTGTAAATGTCACAAATGATGGTCCTTCTATTTGCTCTTCACTACCATGTCACCGATGTAAGCTTCAACAGTTTTGCCCATTTGATTTTTGAAAATCTTGCTGACCAACCTTTGGTACGTCGCTCCAGCATTCTTTAGTCCAAACGGCATGACCTTATAGTAGTAGGTCCCTCGTTCGGTGACAAAAGAGGTCTTTTCCTCATCGTTAAGATCCATTGGAATTTGATTGTAACCTGAATAAGTATCTAGGAAGGTTAATCGTTCATATCCCGTTGTAGCATCCACCATTTGATCAATCTTTGGAAGAGGAAAGCTATCCTTCGGGAAAGCTCTATTCAGATTGGTGAAGTCAATGCAAACTCTCCACTTTTCGTTCTTCTTCTGCACTACAACCACGTTCGACAGCCAGATCGGGTACTGAACCTCTTTGATGAACCCAGCCTCTAACAATCTATCAACTTCATCCGCAATGATCTGGTTGCGCTCCGGGGCGAACCTTCTTTGCTTCTGCCGTACATGCTTAACGTTCGGATTTACACGAAGGGAATGACATGAGACAGAGGGATCGACTCCCAGCATGTCCGAATGGCTCCAAGTGAACACGTCCGCATTCCGGGAAAGGAAATCAATCAACTAGTGTTTCTCTTCCTCGGCAAGCCTTGAACTTATTTTTGTGGTTCGGTCTGGCCTTAAATAATCAATTTGAACATCAGCTAGAGGTTCCTCGGTCAACACCGAAGGATCCTCCTCCCTTTCCATGCTGGGGGGAGGCTTCTGTAATTGCTATTGTGGGCTATCAGATTGGATCGGAGCTTTTCCCTTCCCTGCGGCCTTCAGAGTCACCGAGTAACATTCCTTTGCTGCAACTTGGTCCCCATTGATATTAATCACCTTATTTCCATCCGGACTCAGACATCTCATCACTTGGTGCAGGGTCGATGGGACTCCTTGAACTCTATGAATCCATCCTCTCCCTATCAGCAGATTGTAGGATGGATGGATCTCCACCACCACAAAGCTTTCGACAAGCTCCTTCTCAGCAGCTCGAACGAGCAATTCTATTGTGCCGATCGGTTTGACTCGCTTTCCATCGAATCCCAACAATGGATTCTCAGTACATTTAAGCACTTTTGGCTTGATTTCTAGCCGATCGAAGGCGACCTTTGGCATGACATTTGCACTGCTCCCTGGATCAATTAGCACCCTTCGTACTAAGCATTCCGCCATTGTAAAACTAACAACCAAAGGGTCCTCATGAGGAATTTGAACTCACAGTAGGTCTGTCTTGTTAAACCTTATCTGCGTTGATGCGTTCTGATGGTGCAGATTGTTAACACTGCCTATTCGCCTCTTCATCTGTGCTTGGCGAAGGCGCGTTCGGAACAATTCTTCAGATTCTGTTATCTGTTCAGGACGACTATGAATTGCATTTATAATCCGAACGGGCTGAGTGTTATAGTGATTCGGCTTTTGATTTCTCTTAACTTGCTCAGTAGGCCGATTCTGCTCCTGCGCTGGCCCTTGAACATATCCTGTAAACTTTCCCCTGGTGATCAGCATCTCCACTTGCCTCCGTAAGTTCCTGCATTCATTAGTCTGGTGACCAAAATCACTATGAAAAGCACAATATTTAGATTAATTTATCTGTTCGAGAGGTTTTCCGATTGGTAAGGGGGGACAAAACTTATCTTTGTTTTCTTGGAATAACCTTGCCAGAGTGACTTTAAGTGGAGTAAACGACTCTTCTTCTCGGGGCCTCTTCTCTACCTTCTAGGAGGTTTGATGTTGCGGAGCTTGCTTTTGCCGAATCTTAGCTTTGGACTTCTCCTCTGTGGAGATAATAGATGTCTTCCTTGCATTAGCTGCTTTCTCTTCTTCTAGTCGCACGAAACCATCAGCTCTCTCGTTCAGCTCATCCATGGTCTTCGGCTTATTCACCACCAAACTTGTGTGGAGCGGTGTCCCTCGGTTCATTGCCAACTTGAACGCTTAAACTGCTGTTGATGGATGACACTCCATAACCATACTTTTGACAAAGTTAAACCTGGTGAGAAAAGCCTGGAGTCGCTCATCTTCGTGCTGTTTCATTGTAAACAGGCTTGACACATCTTTGGCCGGGCGTTTATTTCCATAGCATTGGCTAATAAACTTATCACACAAGTCCTGGAAGCTAGCAATTGAACCTTGAGCTAGATTCTTGAACCAGTTGAGGGCTAGCCCTGACAAGTTTGTAGGGAAGCATTTGCACATCAGAGGGTTATTGTTCGTATTCAAGGCTATTTTGAACTGAATGTGGTAAATGTGATCGATCGGATCGGTCGTTCCATCGAATAGAATGAACACCGGCATGGAGAACTTTCTCGGATTCGGAGTGTTCAGGATTTCTTTAGTGAACGGTGATACAACCATTCTTGCAGAGGAACGGAGTGCGTCATTCTCCATTAAAAACTGCAGTGGAATCCTCGGATCTGCAGATCTTCATTCTGAACTCCTGTAATCATACGTCGCCATTGAAGGCCGGTAGGGTGGATCAAACGATCTATCATCTGTGAACTCCCTATGCTATAGCGATGGAGCTCCATGATTGCTAGACTCCATTGCTTCATCATGTCGTAACCTTCCCTGAGTTGGATCAAAAACAATGGTTTCTTCTCGCATGATCCGTTCATGATGCGGATCCAAATGGATGATTCTTCCAACTCCTCCACTTGACGGACATGTGGACGTAAATTGTTTGGCACAATCTCCTCGCGATGAAGATCCATTTGATTGTTTCCCTCCGGATCATCATGATGAGCAGTGCTGGATGACACAACTCCCTCTCCTACTGGAGGTGGCCTTGGAAGAGCAGGAGCCTTACGACGCTCCATTCCAGCTCTCAACTCTGCGTTATCTCTCCTTAGCTCTTCGATTACACTCATTAATTCATCGAGCTTTGACTGCTGGCCATTATCTAATGGATTTGAGCTCTCACTTCCGATCATCATTCCTGATCGGAGCAAAGTCATCAACCGCAATTTTCTGGACAGATCTGAGTTCTGTTAACGCAATCACACTAGATCTAGACTTGAATTGGCCGAATTCTGATCTTACAAGTCCAGATTCGACCTTCTTCCACCGTGGACCTGTCAAATCTAGCTCTAGCAAAGAAAACATAATCGCATAGATTGATTGAACAGAAACAAACCGGAACTACGTAGATTGAATGCGAATCTCTTCAAAATCAATCAAAATCGGAACTCAGCAAGACGAACAACGAACAACGAATCACTCACGATCCTCATTCACTTTTTAGAGATCAAGCTTCTTCCTCGTGCATCACTTACGATTGAATCAATTTCGACTTATCGTAAATCAATCTTCGTCGTTCCCACAGACGGCGCTAAGTGAAGGTACATGAAATTCTCCCTCTCAAATTAGAAAGAGCAATTCCACACTTCCAATTTTTCCAATCCCTTTTCCCTCTGTTTTTAGCCTATATATAGACTGTTACAGACCTTCTAGATATTTTTCAACTGACTTCTTGAACTGGGCTGTTCTTCTGGGCCTTCCTTCATTATGGGCTCAGCTCCTTCCGTTCAGAACCGGGCTTTTTTTATTAATTTTATCACCCTGGGCTCAATTAACAAAGACTCGGTTCATAACAATGGTCTTTATCCGGCCCACTTATAACCTCCTGGATCATACCCGGCCCAAGTCATTTTCGGCATCCTCAGAAACAAAAAAGACTTCTGAGAATAAGGAACTTCTGTTTTTTTAGTTATCAGGGATTGTTTGAGAAATCATTATTCTATAATGGACTGTTTTAGAGCCATTATCTTCAGTGAATTTTTTCCGATTGTTGTTCTTATTTGGCCTCCATCGTTGTCATGTACTTCGATTTTTTTATCTTTATTTTAAATAAACCCGATTTCATTATATATATATATATATATATAAAATTATATATTCACCCGTTTTCAGCTTTTTGTCATGACTAAGATTGTTGATGATTTGAAGCAAATAGTGGATTTATGTTGTTTAGAGTGTGCAAGAGTTCATATAGAGAATTATATGTTGTTTAGACTTGTTTGTGATGCAAATCAAAGAGAGAAAAAGAAAAGAAGATTCAAAGATTGAAGAACAAGAGGAGGAATTGATGAGAGAACGAGAAGAAAGTTGGAGAATCCTATTATCTTGCCGGATTCAATAGATTTAGAGAGATGATTAGAACTAAAACCAAAGAATGAGATATAGAATCAAAGATAGAGAAAGAGAAATTTAGTGACAGCCAGATCAGATGCCATATAGATATGACTCTGTGTAATGTGTGTGTGTGTGTGTATGTATATATATATATATATATAATTTGTCAATTTATAACTTTCTAGGGGTATTTTAGTATTTTAATCTAATTTTTTTAAGTTAAAGGGTTGACTTGACAAATTCAAAGGGTGATTAAGTCATTTTACATCATGTCAAAACTGTTCAACTAACGGTTGGGGTGTTAATGAAAAATGGAACAAAAGTAGTTTATGATGTGAGTGATAGTTATTTTCGAACGATATTTGAAGATGATATTCGGCCAAACTTGAGGGGGTTTTAGTAAAATTAACCTAATTAAAAATACTAAAAAGTTGTAAATTATTTAACAATTTAATGTATTAGATTAAAAATATATTTGACAAATAAAAATATATAACAATTACAATATACTATCATCAAAAACTTGTTCCAACAGTGTCATGACATCCTTGGGGTTGTATCACAAGGTTTTCGTTACATCATAATCACTTTCTATGTTTAGGATCCATCTTACAAAGGACATAGAGATTTTTTTTTTAATTTTTTTTTTCAGAGTTAAGGATATAGAGATTGTTAATGATATAAGTTGCAGAATTGGAATACTTCTAAATAAAATTTACTAGCAATCTAATATTGTTTTTGTATGATGAACAAAATCATAGATGGTACGTAAGAGGCAGGTTAAAAAAGATAAGTTTTTATAAAAGGTATAAGATGACTTGATTGAGCGTTTCAACCAGTTTTTACTTATAAATGGTAAAAGACAAAAAGTTCGTCTGAACTAATATAAAATAAAGTAATAAAAAACAAAATTAAATTTTTTTTTTTAAAATATAGGTCTTACGATAATTTTTTTTAAGGTAAAGTACAAGAACACCTCCTGAAATTTGTTAAAATGAACACTCAGATAAAAATTATCTGTTTTTGGGACAATGACACCCCCCTTGAAGAAATTTCATCCATATAGAGCCTTAAATCATATGAAAAGACAAAATTGCCCCTTAATATTAAATTCAGATTTATGGCAAAATATCAGATCTATCAAAATGACGCAATTGCCCCTGAAAGTTTAGCATCACAAATAACGCCACTTGGTGCCAGATTAACAACCCGTGAATTGTCCTAGTTTGAATTTATTATTGGTATTATTGATTCAATTTTGGGATAGTTCAGCCCTAGTTTGAATCTTCGAATTTTGGTTGTTAAAGAAGACTGGGAGGGGTTTTTTTGGTTCTTTTTTTTTCTTTACTAAAATGGGGTTTTCTTTACAAAAAAAAATATTGTAAAAAAAAATATGGAATTTTCTTTATGTGGTTTTCTAAATATGAGGTTTTCTTTATTTTCATTATAAGAAAATTTTGCTCATGTTTTCTTTACTAATATGTAGTTTTTTTTTTGAGAAATTGTGGCAGAATGAAATTAAATTGTTTTTTTTTTTAACAAATGGGGGTTATCAATTTTGTTATTACCATAAAAACAGAATGGAAAATAACTAATTAACTAAAATAGCGAATCCAATGTAGCATCAATTAGCTCTTGAAAGACATCATTCAGAGGTTAGATAACCCATCCATAATAATAAAGAATGAAAGTAGAGGATCATGTGATTGATCCTGTTCATGATCAATAATATATAATTAATATAAGGACAACATAGAAGGGTTTTTTTTTTTTTTTTTTACCCTGGCAAACAAAAGAGCCAAACGACACTTACAGATAAAAAATCACCAAAACACACGAACATCCCACCATCAAAGACACAACAAACTAGGCTGTAGACTTAGAATGCTAAAAAGAGACGTATTCCCCACGCTGATGGAACATGACCATCATAAATATTGACTTTTTAGAAACCATCTGAGCACCCTTGATCCACTTCAGATGTAATAAACCCCAACTTTCTATAGCAGACGTGGCTGACAATTTCTTCAACCATCAACCAA